GGGAGGGAGGGGTAGGACGTAAGATATGACGCGAGCGCACCTGGCTTGCCTCCCTCACCTCCTTCCTCCCTCCTCCCCCTCCTGCTCCTCAGCGCTATGAAAAGAGGGGGCTGGCCAAAGTAGCCCTACTAGTACGCCCCCGCCAGCCCCCCCGGGGCCTGTACGAGTACACCAAAGTAGCCTTACTAGTAGCCCTGCCGGGGCGCTAACGCCAATTGTATTCTTGACGCCGCCTCCGAAAGGGTATTCCGTGACACACGCACGCCGCATCCGAAGGGGCGTTCCGTGACGTACGCACGCCGCCTCCGAGGGGCATTCCGTGGTTTGCGAGCGCCGGCTGCGCAGAGGCGTGGTCGTAAGCAGTGGCAAAAAAAACGCATGCACGGACAATGATTGTCACAGGTGACCCCCCTCTGCGGCTGGTGAACTAAGTTTGACGTTCCCCGAGGGGATGGATCTTCCCGGGAGGGGGGGCCCTTTGACGGGCTGCTGCACTCCCGGGAAATGGACGGGGAGGAGGGACTCCATGCCGATCCGCGCAAACATCACCACTACCCCTGGCGCAGTGCGTGCGACGCCAGGGGGGGCGGCCTGTCCACCCACCTCCCCACCATAGGGGGGGGGGTCCGAAGTCCCTGTGGACGGGACGGGGCGGGCGCTGAGGGGCACCATAGGCCCTTCTAGAGCCAAAGGTGGGCACCATACGCCCGCCACCACGAGCGGAGGTGCACCATATGCCCTCTACCCTTCGTCCCATTCGGCATTCAGTGAACGTTTCAATTTAATATTTCAGCCTCTCTCCAATGGGGCGGCGCCTCACGTGGACCTACAGTAAACGTCGCCATCAATGGGGGGGGGCTGCGATTTGCGAAGCTGTAGCCACTTTTGAAGGCTGCTGGGGAATCCACCAGGGCTACGTCCCATGCGAACCTAAAGTGGACCCCGCTATCCCTGGGTGGCTGCGATCTGCGAAACTGTCGCCACGTTCGGGGGCTGCTGACGGATCCAGCGGGGTCACGTCGCATGCGGACCGAACTTGGACCCCGCCATCCCTGGGGGGCTGCGACCTGCGAAACAGCTGCCACTTTCGAGGGCCGCTGTGGTGTCCAGTGGAATTGTGTCCCACGCGGGCAGAACTCTGGCCATCGCTCGGACGTCCATTTCCTGTGTTTTTTTGTTGGCTTCGTGCGTGGTTGTTTCGCCAAGTGATCAAGGATGGTCCTCGATGGTCCTCGCCGAGGGAAAAATTCACACGTCCGAGCGATGCCAAGTTCAACTTCGACCTCGCCGCCCCGGGGGGGCTGCGATCCGCGAAGCTTTTTGCCACGGTCGAGGGCCGAAGAGTGAGGTCCAGCGGACGGGTGCCCACGCGGGCCTGAGCTGGACCTCGTCAGCCCCGATGGCTGCGGGGCTGTCCCCCGCGGCGGTGTCCTGCGCGGACATACAGGGCAGTTTTTTAATACACAGGATTTGAAAAATATGATTTCTAATACATGATCAATGTATGAATAAATCGATGCATGAACTCGTCGTCGTTTTAATGCTAAATCCCTGCATGTTTAATGCATGATCCGCACGCGGAGCATGTATTAAAACCGGCCCTGTAGACCTCGTCATCCCCGATGGATGGTTGCTGGGTTGTCCACCGCGGCGGTGTCCTGCGCAGACATAGACTTAGACGTCGCCATCCGCGGGGGGCTACGATCTGCGACGCTGCCGCCACTCTCGACAGCTGCTGGGGGGGGGGCTGGCGGGGCGACGTCCCACGCGGACCTGAATTGGACCTCGCCATCCATGGGGGGCTGCGATCCGCGAACCTGCCGCCGCGCTCGGAAGCTGCCGGGGGGGGGGGCCCGCGGAGCGGCGCCACGCGCTGGCTCCGATTAGACCGCGGCCCGCGCAACTGCTGCCGCTTTCGAAGGCGGCTGGAGGTCCGGCGGAGTTGACGGGGCCCTGGGACACACAAATAAATACACACAGATAAAAAGATTCCCCATATTTTCCCACATGTTCTGGGTTTTTGTCTTCCCCTCCACTTCCCATGTTTTCGCATATTTTCGGGGGAATCGACGATTAATTGTGTCTGTGTTTTTTCCCTCCTGAGGAGTGGCGCCGCACGCGGACCCGAACCAGATCTCGCCGTTTGGGCGGGCTGCGGTTTGCAAACTGACCGCCGCATTCGAAGGCTGCTGGGGGGGGCTCACCGTAGCGACGCCCCACCCAAACTGGGGAACTACACCTCGGCATCCCTGGGACTTGCCGTCGCTCGGACGTCCATTTCCCGTGCATGTTTCGGTTCCGTGCGTGTTTTTGTTTGCTCGATGGTCCAGGATGGTCCTCGATGGTCCTCGCCGAGAAAAAAATGCACACGTCCGAGCGATGCCAGGGGGAGGCTGCGATCTGCGAAGCCGTCGCCGCTCTCGCGGGCGGGCGCCCCGCGGAGTGCGACGCCCCGCGGGTCCCGCAGGCCTGGCGGCGCGCCTGCTGGCGCTCAGCTCCCGCGCTGCACGGTGCAGGAAGAAAGCGGGGGACCCGGTGGGCGCGGCCGGCTTCGCTCGTTTCTTGCGCTAGCTGTGGGCACAGCTGCTCCGTTGGAGCGCCAGGGCGACGTGGCGCAGGCCGCGCTGGTTGCCCAGCGCGCCACTGGAAGAGAACCACCACCTTCTGTCCTCACCCTGTGGATGTTGCGGTCGTCCTCGTCTGACTTCGCTGTCTCCTTGCTGCTGTCGCGTGAACCGCTCGGCCCCTGTTCCGTCCCGTGTCCTGCCCACAGTTCCCACCCCCACTTCAACTCAGAGCCTGGGACCTCAGTCCTCGTCCTTTTCTTGCTGTCCTGTGAGTTGCGGGGCGCGCGCGCTTCCCATGTAGCTTGCGTAACCAGCGACAGATCTTGTTGTCATCGGTCAGACGATTCTGAACCAGCTTCTCTTGCACATGGGCTGGGCATGTCGCAGGGTATTTGTTTTTTTTGGGGGGGCCAAGGCACCCTGAATGTAGCAGTTTTTTGACGCCCGCGAGGAGTCACCGCGCAGCACGCGCAGCGAACAAAAAAACAAGGCGTTGTGACGAAGCACGCATGGTTTCTTGACGCGCGTCCCAACTGTAGAGGACGACGCAAAAACGACACAGGTTCAGCCACCGTCGGCGTGTTTTCTGGTCGCGCACTGGACGACCCGTGGCATCGGGTGTTTGGACGGGGCGCAGCGGTTTGCTTCGAGGAGGGCGGGGAGCGGGAGAGAGGACCACCCCCCCGCCACCATCGTCCTTCTCCATCCACCCCCCCCCTTTACTCCCGCGATCTCGATCCCGATCCTCTTCCCTCTGTATGGCCCTCCATGTCGCACCACCAAACGTGACCGCGGGCCAAGAACTTGATAACTATGAGACTTCCTCGCGAACAAGCGTGCACGTGCAAGGATGGAGGCCGGTCGTTTCCAAAATGTGACTACCGCCTTAGCGCCGCCAAGCGACTTCGAACAGCTTCCAACAAGTACGAGGATGAAGGGCAGCTCGTTTCAAAATGGGCCTTCGAATGGAGGCCGCGCAAACGCGTCTGAAATAGTCACAGGTCTACGGGCGCTGGTGGGATCGAAAGGCGGTCCTCGTTTTGATCTGGGCGAGTTCTCTGCGGAATTTGCTAGCAATAACAAGGGTGGACACCGGCTCGTTTTCAAAATCATGTCATCGCTTCAAACCCTAGAGTCGATGATTCAAAACTTTGAAGATGTGGGACATATTGCCATTCGTTCGGACGTTCAGTCCCCGCGCAAGATGATCCAAGATGTTCCCAGATGGTGAGATTTGTCTGGCTCTCGCCTCGCCGGGGAAAACGCACGTTTCCGAGCGATGTGAGGACAAATAAGTGGATGCAGAGGCCTCACTATGAGGGTCTCAGTCGCAAGCTCCATACATGACGATTGCAATAGCCTTGAACTGCCCAGCAACACTACGGGGATGCACGGCATGCCTCTGATGACTGAAATATCGATGGGCACCTCCTTCAGCATTATTAGATTACCTTCTGTTCAGCACATATTGGAACTAGAAGAATGGAGTGTAGATCCTTTTCGACACGGGGTCTCGCCCGAGTGGCATGCCCGCTGGGTGTTCGCCTTCCAAAAGGGGATCTTCCCGCAATGGCAAGGAAAACCTTCAGGAGCTCATGAACACGGGGCTTGGGACGGACGGCGTATTGCAGCATCGTTTATGCATTTTGGATTGACACAAAACCCATGCGAAACATCTTGCTATAAGAAATATCGGGGCACATCCTCCGTCGACTCTGAGCCTCGCGTGGCGTTCCAAAACTCTGCGGGCTCATTGGCAGATGCGAAGTTATCGTTGGGCACCAATTGTCAGGCCAATCTCGTGACTGGTGCGCCCACTGCTGCTGAGAACTTCCCCGAAGTGTCCGTGGTGTCCACAGCAGTGCCATGCAAGAAAATGGGGCGGACAGACCGACCTGCAATTGTTCACCGAGCAGCACCGAGCCTGAAGGCGTCCTCCTCCAGGCCGCCTCTTCCTTTTCCTCCTCCTCCCCCTCCGACTTCTCCTCCTCCTCCTCCTCCTCCTCCTCCTCCTCCTCCTCGGACGTACCTGGAAGCGCCGCAAGGTTCGGTCAGCACCTGCCTCCACAGTCGTCGCCGCGGAGGAACCTGTGGAAAACCGCACGAACCTGCGGGAGCGTTTCGAACAACTGGGCCTCGTTGAACGGCGACCCTAGCGGGAAAAGGGTCAGTATATGATATGTGCAAGGCCTCCTTCCTCCTCCTCCTCCTCCTCCTCCTCCTCCCCCTCCTCCTCCTCCTCCTCCTCCTCCTCCCCTCCTCCTCCTCCTCCTCCTCCTCCTCATCTTTCTCCTCCCCCTCCTCTTCTCCTCCTCCTCCCTCGTCCTCGTCCTCGTCCGCATCGTCCTCTTCCTCCTCCTCCTCCTCCTCCTCTTCCACCTTTTCCTCCTCCTTCTCCTCCTCCTCCTCTTCGGGGCAGGATGGGGGGGGATCCTGCGCCCAAGCCCCCAGCCACCTGCACGCCTCGGCCACCTCCACCGGCCCGCCCGCCTGGTCCAGTCCGTCCTGCGGGGGTTCCGGAGGGAGGGTTAGCAGACTGATGTTGTCGTCGATTGCCAGTCGAAGGGTCTGCTTAAGAGCTCTGCAGCTGCTCTTAGAGCTCGAAGCCGACACGCACCAGAATCCGCCGACCCTGCGCCAGCGCGTGCGAGGAGAATTTTTCGTCCCCGGGTCGCCCCGAAACACAATTTTCTTTCGATTCGCTCTTCCGTTCCCAGGGAGTTTCCCGAGACCCTCCTTGCCCCGCCGAGCTCGTCAACTCGAAGTGAATCGAGCCAGGTGGTAATCGAAATCATATTTGAATCGAATGGCAGCCCCTTCCCCTCGATCCCTTCCACACCCAGGGGGGAGTCCATGGGGGGGGAATCGACCCCAAACGAACAGTAGCAATTCCAACCACCCGCTCCACTTATCCAGTGGCCGAAAACCAAAACTACGGGTACCAAATACAACCAGCCACCCCGAGCCGCACAGTAGGATTCCAAGTGTAGAGCATTGGAGAACTACTCAGAACTAACACGCAACTCTTAGACATGTGCACTGGTACGTATTTACCTTCTTTCATCCGGGAGTTGCGCTGTTTTGATAATGGCGAGCGGCGCCAGGCTTACTGGAGCTTCACGGCTACCGTCTGAAGGCTGCACATCTTTCGCACGACATCTGCGCAGTGCTTCGCGTTAGTTGGTTTTCATTTGAGCATTGTATAATCTCATTGGAGGAATTCTGGGAAGTCCACAGGCGAACGCTAGAATACATAAAGGCAGCGCGGCGAGTCACACAGAAATTCAACGAAACTCCACAATCCCAACTGACCAAATCATGATAGACATATGAAACCGTTAACTGCTAAGTGTCATACAAAGCCTCGATCGATTGTGCGATATGGCGTGGTGTCGGTGCAACATGGGACTATTGCTGCATATGTTCTCACCTGGGAAGTCGATGGCTTCCAGATGGGAGCTGCAAGTTCGCCATCTGAGAATGTGTATAGGGTTGCCTTGCTCAGGGAGCTGCAGGACTGTCGCTAGATAGCTGGTACGTTTGCAACAGGAACCCGATATCATACAAATGAGAGCCAATCGTATGCAAAAACAAACGAGCCAAGCTTGCATACAATATCGGAGCAGGCTTCATTTGAAAGCACTGTCATTCCGATAATTGTGTAGAGTCCACGTTGGGCGTGTGTGATATCTCCTTCAAAAGCAACATGACTTTCGTGTGGAAGTCTATTGGTTCCATGCGGCGTCTGCGGAGCTTTCTTGTGGCAACTTGATGCGGTCCACACGGGGTGACCTAAGCATAGAGTGGCAGTTGTCCAGGTGCCACCTTTCAGACGCATGGCATTTACCTGCGGGTAGCATTTCGTCCAAGTAACAACCTCATAGCTGTCATGCGAAAACTGCAAAGCTCCAGCACGGGCTTGGAATATGCACCCAGGGATTGCCGGGCAATCGCATGCGACCCTTATGCGACGTGTACCCTCTCCACACGGGGGTTCTCGAGGCTGCGCTTCAGACGTTTGTGGAACTTCATTTGAAACTGTGTTGGTTCCACATGGTCGCTGCGGCGATGGCCTGGCAAGTTGGTTGCATAGCGGTGGTAGTAATAGTGGTGGTGGTGGTAGTAGTAGTAGTAGTAGTAGTAGTAGTCGTCGTGGTAGTAGTACTAGTGGTAGTGCTGGTGGTCCTGGTATATTATGTAGCAGTAGTAGTAGTAGCAGGAGGAGGAGGAGGAGTTGTAGTAATAGTCCTCGTAGAAGTACGAGTGGTAGTAGTAGTAGTAGTAGTAGGAGTAGTAGTAGTCGTCGCCGTCGTAGTAGTCGTAGTAGTCGTAATCGTAGTAGTAGTAGTAGTAGTAGTAGTAGTAGTAGTAGTAGTAGTAGTAGTAGTAGTACGATAGAAGTAGTAGTAGTGGTGACCATCGTCGTCGTAGTCGTAGAAGCACGAGTCTCCGAAGTAGTATTCGCGGTCAATGAGCTAGTGGTCGTAGTAGTATCAGCAGTAGTAGTAGTACTAGTAATGAAAGTAGTCGTCGTAGTAGTCGTAGTCGTAGTCGTAGTCGTCGTAGTGGTAATGACAGTTGTAGTACTAGTAGTAGTAGTAGTAGTAGTAGTAGTAGTAGTAGTTGTTGATGTTGTTGTACTAGTCTTAGTCGTAGTAGTAGTAGTAGCAGCAGTAGTAGTAGTAGTAGTAGCCATCGTAGTAGTAGGCCGGTAGTAGTGATAGCAGCTGTAGGGATAGCGGTAGTAATAGAAGTCGTAGTCGCCGTACCTGTAACAGTCTTACAAGTAGTACTGGTCGGAGCTATGTCGTAGTAGGCGTCGTCGTAGTAGTGGTGGCGGGGTCAGTGGCAGTAGTAGCTGTATTGGTTGTGATCACCATGGTACTCAGAGACGCAGCAATTTTAATAGTAGTAGCAGAAGTAGTAGTAGCAGTAGTGGTATGTGTGGTACTAGTAGTAGTAGTAGTAGTAGTAGTAGTAGTAGTAGTAGTAGTAGTAGTAGCAATAGTAGTAGTAGTAGTAGTAGTAGTAGTAGTAATAGTAGTAGTAGTAGTAGTAGTAGTAGCAGTAGTAGTAGTAGTAGTAGTATGTATGGTAGTAGTAGTAGTAGTAGTAGTAGTAGCAGTAGTAGTAGTAGTTGTTGTCGAAGTCGTGGTGGTAGTATTGGCTGCGGGGTAGCACTGGTAATAATACTGGAAGTAGAAGTAGTAATAGTCGTCGTCGTAATAGTCGTAATCGTGCTAGTCGTAGTAGTAGTGAAGATAGCGATAGTAGTAGTAGTAGTAGTAGTAGTAATAGTAGTAGTAGTAGTAGTAGTAGTAGTAGTGGTGGTGGTAGTAGTAGTTGCTGTTGTAGTCGTAGTAGTCGTAGTAGTAGTAGTAGTAGTAGTAGTAGTAGAAGTAGTAGTCGTAATAGTAGTAGTAGTAGTAGTAGTAGTAGTCGCCGTCGTAGTAGTAGTAGTAGTAGTAGTAGTGGTAGTAGTAGTAGTAGTAGTAGTGGTAGTAGTAGTAGTAGTAGTTGCTGTTGTAGTCGTAGTAGTCGTAGTAGTAGTAGTAGTAGTAGTAGAGGAGTAGTAGTCGTAGTAGTCGTGGTGGTGTTAGTAGTAGTAGTAGTAGTAGTAGTAGTAGTAGTAGTAGTAGTAGTAGTAGTAGTAGTAGTAGTATTGGTAGTAGTAGTAGTAGTAGTAGTAGTAGTAGTAGTAGTAGTAGTAGTAGTAGAAGTAGTAGTAGGAGTAGTAGGAGTGGTCGTAGTAGTATCAGTAGTCGTCGCAGAAGTAGTAATAGTAGCAATGATTGTCGTACCAGTAGTCCAAGAAATAATAGTGGTAGTAGTGGTAGCCGTGATCGTAGTGGTACTTCCAACAGGACGAGCAAGCGTACTACTAGTAGTTGTAATATGAATGCTAATACTAACTGTCGAAGAAATAGTAGCAGTGTTATTAATGATAATATTAGCTGTGGTGGTAGCAGTGGTATTAATAGTAGCAGTAGTAGTAGCAGTAGTAGTAGTAGTAGTAGTAGTAGTGGTAGTAATGGTTGTAGTCGTTGTAGTGGTAGTAGTAGCAGTAGTAGGAGCAGAATAGAAGTAGTGGTGAGAATGGTGTTGCTGATAGTACTACGACTGGTCGTCATAATGATGATGGTCGTGGAAGCGGTCGTAACAGTGCTAGTGGTAGCTATTGGAGGAGTGACCCACGATTGCCTAGTCAATCCCGCGCCCGCAGGACAGGGGACGGTGACAGTACGACTCGGGGTCCTGTAAGGATCTCCCAAGGGTCCGGTAAGGATCTCCCAGGGATCCTGCAAGAAATCTTCCAAGAGTCCGGACGAATAGCTTCGAAGGGTGGAGCCCGGGTCACAATACGGCCCCCCCCGCCTTCCCCATCCAGGGACCCTCCGAGCGAATTTGGCCTTCCGTGCCAACTCAGGTCCAAGATAATCCAGGCGGGGATCTAGAGGGCCCAGTGTCCCCAAAAGGTCGCTCCAAGGCGCCCAAGATGGCCTCCAAGTGGCCCTAGACACCTCCAAAACTGGCAAAGAGGTCCTCATGAGCACCCCGAAAAGAATCCCAAGAAACAACACTCGCATATAAGTACACATACATACATATATGCATGCATGCAATTTTTTACACACATGCATACATGCATACACACATACATGCACACATACATACGTATGTACGTACACACATACAGACACGCATACAGACAATACGTGCATACATACACGCGTACATACATACCTGTACACAGTCATGCAAGCATATATGCATGCATACATACATGTTTACATACATGCGTACATACATACATGCTTGCATGTATACATGGTATACAAGCTTGCATACGTACACACGTACATACATGCATACATATGTGCACGTACATACATGCATGCATACATACATGCATGCATGCATACCTACAGGACTTAAAGCGTACATGCACATACATACATACACGCACGCATGCATGCATGCATACATACAGCCACACATACATATATACGTACGTACGTATCTACTTACGCACATACGAAAATCGTATATACGTACATCTACATAGATCAGAGGCCACTTCAACAACAGGGCACCCCTTCATTTTGCCGAGATGAACGCAGTGCGGTGACAAAACGACTCGGAGACCTCCTAAGGATCTTCGTAAAGTCCTGTGAGGATCTCCCAGGAATTCTCTGGGAATCTCTCGGGAGTCCGGAAGAATTGCCTCCGACGAGGTTGGGACTGGTACGCAACTGGCTGAAATTGACTGGAAATTGCTGGACTTCGCTCCAAGACTGTTGTAATTCATCTCGTTTTCGGTCCCGGGGATGGGAACCGGGTCAGAATACGGCCCCCCCACCTTCCCTAATCGGGTAGCCTGCCAGGGAATTTGGCCTTCCGCGGCAATTCCGATCCAAGATAATCCAAATGGGAACCTAGAGGGCCCAGAGACCCCAAAAGATCGCTAGAAAGGCGCCCAAGATGGCCTCCAAACGGCCCTAGAC